GGGGAGGGGTAAAAAAAGTTAAAATTATATATAAGAACCTGATTTTTTTTTATATTAAGAGGGGGTAAGCCTCTGATAAAAAATAATCAGGTGATAAATGATACTACTCTTACTTACATGTATTTACAGACAACTATACCACACCAGAGAAGTACAATCAATTAAGATAATACTCTACCGAGAGCTTATCTGACCACTACCCTAAAATAGGATATCACCAATCTGATAATATCTTCTCATAGAAAAGTGAAAGAAAAAAAAATTTTTATAAAAAAAACACAGAGATATAGGGGACTATATAAAAAAAAAACAAATAAAAGAAAAGAAGAAGGTAAGGGTAAAACAAAAAAAAAATTTATATAATTCAAAATGAAACTTACACATCAAAAACATGTAGTTGATGTAAAAACATTAAGGATATTAGAGGATCAGAAATATACAAATGCAAAAGTTGTGGCATAAAAATGGACAGAGATATTAATGGCACCCGATATTCCTTCGGGCTTTGCTTGGATGTAAGCATCATAAACTCAAATTAAAATTCAGTCAATAACAACTCGCAAATATGATCATGAACAACATGACGGATAATCAGATAACAGTATAAATTAGTAAAATTCGAATTATCCGTTCGTATAGCTAAATTGATTCCATCCTTATTTACAACCCTCAATATTGCAGACGATATTATTGTAATAATATGGAAAGAACATACAGTAAATTACCCATCTAGTAGATCATTTTAATAAAAATACACAATAAGATACCCATAATTCTATCATTCTAATCCTGGAGGTTTCTGTCAGGTGTTTAGTGATCGATTCAAAAACAAAGATGTGCATGTATTGTTATTTTGTTCATTTTAACAAACGACCTAATATTACAATTAGTAAATTATATCATTCATTCATTTCCTTTTTATGCAAACAGCAGTAAGATTGAGTAGATTGAATATGATACTCCTTTACAATATATCATTGATTAACGAATAACAAAAAACTTGTAGTTAGGAAGAGTAAACTCTATATTTAGGACCATAAGAAACATTGTACTTAGAGACTTATATACAGTAATACAATGATTTTTTTTATTACTATTATTGTTAAAAAGGATTTAAAAAAAAAAATTTTAATCCTAAATCTACAAAATATTTATTCGGTCCTATTGACCGTGTAACTATACATATTAACACACTAATATTTTACTAATTAGCGTATACTATTGATATCGAGCTTACCAGCCTTTATAGTTTACAATGATAATATCCAAAATTTTTGTAACTTCATGACTCGCATGATTCGTTATAATACTTGACAAATTAACCAAAATTCTAAAAAATCGACAATTCATCCCATTCATAGTTAATAATCGGAATTAATTTTCTCTCAGTGTAAAAGTTATTTAAAATAAATAACTTCATGTTTTAGTAATCGTAATGAGTTTCGAAATAATCTTCTAATCAATTCAAAAAAGTTACTTCAGTTAATATTCATAACCTTTCTCTAACCGAATACTGAACTCACCATAAATAGGATCTCCAAAATGTTTAACTTGTTTAAGATGGTTATTCCTTTACTTTGGTGTCGCCCATTTGCACATAAACTAGAAAAGGAAAAGGCCGCACTAATCATAAGAACATACGTGTCATGTCTTGAAGAACAAGGAAGACAACGTTTAATGGCAGATGGCATTAAATTTCATGATTTACCGAAACCATTTATCGATTATCCAAGATATCTTCGAGCGTTCGACTTTGAACATTTTCGTCAAGCTATTGATGATTCAGTTTCAACTTTAGAAATTAGCAATCCAGCATGTGATATAATAACAACTCTTTGTAGAGAAGTTCTTGGATATTGTCTTTGTAATCGTTCATCCGGACTTCGAATTTTAAAAATTGATCTATTAAATGTTGAACTTTACGGTCCTTTTCTGGATATCGCAACGATACCCGGGATCGAAAATATTTTATCACAACTTCAAAGATTTGAATTACTCTATCTTTTTGAGACTGAGGATGAGACGTCGAAAAGACTCTCATCATTATTTACATTAATGTCATCTTGTTCTCAAAATATACATAGCATTTCTATAATTATTCATCGAATGAGAACTCATCTTCCTTCGTATTTTATCGAGTCATTAGCACAATTAATCCAATCACAAAACAAATTACGTGCATTATCACTTAATCGATTTTGGAATATGTCATCATCAGCAACAATTTTTACTGCTATGTTAAAACAAGCAGAATCATTAATTTATCTTCGTTTCACACCAAAAAATGAATATTATGATTTAATTAACGTTCTAAAATGTTGTACCAATTTAGAAACTCTAGAACTATTGGATCTTTCGCCAACGAAAGACAGCGATATGTCACTTTTAAATATACCAAAAAATATACTTAACATTAAAAGACTTTATTGTTATGATGACTGGGTA